GTTTTCTTTAATTGAAAAATATGCATTTTCATTCATTCAAAGGCTATATGGTTGCAATAATATTTTAGTTCAAAACTTTAAGTGCCATTGTTTAAAAAAAATGCTTGATTGACTGACGTTTCATATAGACCTTCAGTTGTTACACTTTTAAATTTCATGCCATTTGTAATTTCACAGTATTTTCACCTCCTAAATTACTACACTTGTGAAGTCACAATTCTATAATGGTACAGTTTACTCAGGCCGATGACATTTTGTATAATTCTTTTTTGAATAACTGTACATAAATAGGTTAAGCAAAACAATTGTGATTATTTCTGAAAACAGACAGCCTACATTATGGTACAGCACAAATATTTGGAACATCCCTTATTCTGTCCCTTATTTTCTTAAAGAATAAACACTTCTACAAGAATACAAGAATAAACACTATTTTCTTAAAGAATAAGATAAAGAATCACAATTATTTCTGAAGTTAATTGGCAACCCTAATGATGACATAATTATCTTTTGACTCCCCTCTTATCATCAATGTTGAAAATGTTTGTGCTGCTGAATATTTTTGTGGAAACCCTGATATACGTTTTTTTTTTCAGGATACTTTATAAATGTAAAGTTAAAAAAGCATTTATTTGAAATAGAAATATTTTGTAACATTATAAATGTCTTTACTGTTACTTTTGATCAATTTTATGCATCCTTGCAGAAGAAAAGTTTTAACTTCTTTCAAAAACAAAATCATCTTACTGCCCCCAAACTTTTGAGTGGTAGTGTAAATGTTGACATAAATATTGAATATTATTATTCTAGCATAGTTTGCGTGTATGTGTGCAACAGTATTGCATGTTGTTGTTGTTGTTTTTTTTTGGTAAGACTGTATTTCTGCTCTTATGTAATTGCTCTGAAGGTTGATCTTGGCTCGGCACCATCTGTTTTAATGCTGCGTGTTTCTCAGTAATGAGGCGCTAAAACACCAGCTTGTTGCGATTAGCAGCTGGTCAGTAATGCTGTCTGTTGAGGACAAATGCACAAATCCAGCCTGCTTTCATTATGCACTGACATGAAGGGAATCTCGACTAGAAACTGCTTTAACCCTGTTTATTAGACTAGCAGCTATTCTTTTGCACTAATTAAAGATTCCCTCAAGAGCTCACTATGACACTAATTTGTTTTGTGCTGAAGCTGAGCGATGAGTAATTGTATTCTAGTTGTATTTCTGCATGAAATATATGAGACCAGTGAATGATTTGAAGTTTGCTATATTTAAAACCTGCATTAAATAATCACATTGAAACTCTTATACTGTACATAGACGTCTTCTATGAAATTACAACCAACATTGATTGATTAACTTGAGGAAAAGCAGTTTGATCTTAATGCAATTGGCAGATGTTTTTATCCAAAGCAACTTGCATATTGTCATTTCAAAATTTTGGGGTTAGTTTATTTTTTATTTTTTAAGAAATTAGTATTTTTATTCAGCAAGGATTCATTAAATTGATCAGAAGTGACCGTAAAGATATTCATGATGTTAGAAAATTTCTCAATAAATCAGCATATTAGAATGATTTCTGAAGGATCATGTGACACTGAAGACTGGAGAAACTGCAAAATTCTTTGCATCATTGAAATAAATTATATTTTACAATATATTCAAATAGAAAACAGTTATTTCAAATGGTAATAATATTTCACATTTTTACTGTTTTTACAATATTTTTGATCAAATAAATGCAGCCTTTGTGAGCAGAAGAGACTTCATTCAAACGGTAGTGTGCATTTTATCAGTTCCCGCATTTTGTGGTATTTAATATGACTTTATAAACAGTGGAAAATTAATTATTGATCATATTCAGTTGTCATAAAATGATGGACAAAAACAATAATGTGCAGTTTTGGCCTGTTTGATATTAATAATATCCTTTAAATATTAAATCACTAAAATTTCCCATTAATTTTATAATTTTTTATAATTTTATGTTTTTTTTTATTAGAAAAGATATACATATTAATATGCATTTTTATTGTGTATATTCTACATACTAATGTTTATGCATATTAATGACTTCAAAACTGCCATTTGTTCAGTTGTAAGGTGCTCATATTGTCACCGATACCTGTCTAGCACTGTCTTTGTTGTTTGTTTGTTTGTTTCGCTGTCATGTTTGGTGAAGCTTTCAATATGAAACTCACAAAAAAAAAAATTGTCTTTGTTGAAGAACACGAGTCGGTTTGATTTCATGGAGAGGCTGCTGCTGTTGGCTACATTAGTAACCATGGTAACTGGATTGTAATTGGAATGCACTTTCATTCCCATAGAAAACAGAGCGAAACATCGAGGGACTGGATGAAAATGCAGCAGTGTCCTCAAGCAATGCATATGCATGGGAATCATATTTCTTTGTTTACAGCAATACATTTGTTTATCATTAGGTACTCACTTTCATTTCAAACTTGTATGGAGCTCAGCAACTGTATGACAATGTCCTAGCAACCACCCATAATCACCCATAAATGATTAGATTGTCTCATCAAATTTTAAAAAAATAATAATATAAAAACAATAATTTAAATATTTTTAGTAGTAAATAGAATGTACATTTTAAATGTGATTTTTGTCTCTTTATTAATATTAATATTAGTAATGTAGTATTAATAATAATGACATACTGTCAGTGTTATTTTAAAGGGGTCCTATTATGCTCTTTTACAAAGTCTTGATTTTGTTTTGGGGGTGTACTAGAACAGGCTCTCATACTAGGCTGTTCGAAAAACACATTCTTTTTCACATATTTTTTAAAACCTGGAAAAGTCAGATTTTCATGATATGTCACCTTTAAGACAGCATGCGTGTGGTCAGTGTGTCTCTGTATGACGGTCCGGGACAAATGCATCTGTCAGTGAGACGCATTCATTGCATCTGTCGCTCTGAGACAGACCTTCACACTGACATCTCTATCTCTCTCTCTCTCTGTCTCTCTCTACACACAGAGGAATGATGAGGAGGCCGTGGTGGACAGAGGAGGCACTCGCTCCATGCTTAAAGCTGGACTGGAGAAGGAGGAGCTAGAGGGTAAATACATACTAAGAATTTAAACAAAAAATATTTTTGGAGACATTTTTAGTTTATAAATATCATATGTGTGATTTTGTTTTTTGCAGTTAATTTTATTTGTCCCAAATTCTAAGGCATTAGCGTTCAATTTTTTTTTAAAGGAATTCATATTTTTATTCAGCAAGATGCATTAAATTGATCAAAATTGACAGTGAAGACATTTATAATGTTACAAAAGATTCCTATTTCAAATAAATGCTGTTCTTTTGAACTTTCTATTCGTCAAAGAATCCTGAAATACCATATTGTGGTCTGGTGTTTTTGATCACAGACGCACCTCTGAATCTTATGAGCATCTGCACGGCATCTCAAGTTTCACATGTCATGACTTTTCAGCATTTGTAAACATACCATGTCGATCGTATAAAGCACGGGCGGAAATATCGAAATATCGGCGGTGGGTAAAAATAAAGTGCAGGGGACAGAATAACCTTTTACTGACACGTCCCCCGCGGCTGCTACGCCCCTGGTATAAAGTCTAAAGCTTTGGAAATGTATCTGTAAGCTCATGTCATTGAGCGTTTCCCATCGCAGGACTCTAGTGAATTATCCACTTCAAAACCTAGTGAGCAGCCTTCCTAGACAGCAGGTTTCATATGTTTAAGGCAGCATCCGTTCCAAAAAGTAGGCACTGTATAATTATTTTATAATTGTGCTTTATAATTCATAATTATGAAGGAAACTTATTCCAAATGAGTTACAGCATAATTATGCAGCCTTCTAAGATGCCTTCTTTTGGCTGAATACTAAAGCAGCACTGCATTTGTCATTTATGGAAAAGACAATCCCATCATACATTGCAATTCAGAGTCAGTAAAAAGAAAACCCATGCAGGAATGAACACAGTTAATTATAAATGTTGATTATGTTGAAATGTTGATTTTTTAATGTAGCCTACACATATTTCATTCAGTGCTGGAAAATATTGCTTAAAAATTAAATGAAAAAAATTGAATGAAAAACTGAAATATGTTTTTTTATTAAAGGGGTCATATGATGCGATTTCATTTTTTCCTTTCTCTTCGGAGTGTTACAAGCTCTTGGTGCATAAAGAAGATCTGTAAAGTTGCAAAGACTAAAGTCTCAAATCCAAAGAGATATTCTTTATAAAAGTTAAGAGTCAACCACGCCTACCTAAAACGCCTCGTTCTAACACGCCCCCACATATCTACCTCACGATGTGGGAAGATTTGCATAACACCGCCCAAATAAAGTTGCAAAGACTCACTCAAGCCGCCGGCCTCCGCTCACTCAAGCCCAATCAGGCCAATCACAATGCACTGGATAGCTGGCCAATCAGAGCACACCTCGCTTTTTCAGACCGATGAGCTTTGTAAAAATCGACGCGTTTCAGAAAGGCGGGGCATAGAGGAGAAACAATAATGTACAGTATGTGGAAAATAATGTGTTTTTTTAACCTTAAACCACATAAACACATTTCATTACACCAAATACACAAAATACTGTTCTTTTTAGCAACATCATATGACCCCTTTAAATTAAATAGAAAATAGAAGCATTAAAAACAAAAATGATGGAAGTACATAACATACTTAAACTTTAACTAAAACAGAAAATACAAAAATAAAAGCTAATACTTCAAATACTTTAATAGTAAAAACAGAACACTATAATAGTATATAATTATTACTAAAATAACACTGTTTCACTAATTAAAATAAAGCTAAAATAAAATACGAATGTTAGATGAAAAGATGAATAAATGAAAATTAGAAATGTTTTCTTTGCAACTTAAAATAAACTAAATGAAACTAAAACTGAAATAAAAGTAACAAAAATTAAATAAAATAGGCAAAATAGGAGTAATAAAAAAGTAATAAAAACAAATAATGTATTACTAAATCCTAAACTAAAATTAAAATGAAATCTGATATAAAAATGAAAGCTAAAACTATAAATACTATAAAAATTGAATATTATAATAATACTAAAATAACACTGCTCTTATATTCTGGTCTGGTGTTTTTGATCACAGCAATTCATTCACTGCTGGAAAATATTGCTCCAAAATTGTCTGAAAAAATATTTTGCCCAGTATTTGTTATCCACATCTTTAAAATATTGTCTTTTTAAAAATATTTAGTTTTTATAGATGAGCATTTAGCATGTTCCAATTGCACTGGAAGAATTGGAAATGTGAAAAATCATGTTTTTACAGTGTGTATGAGGTTTAATTTCAGAGAAAGTTATGTTGAGATCTGTGCTGTTTTCTGTTGCTGAAAAAATGCTAATTAGCAAGTGACCTCAGAACGTGAACGAAATCATTTTCTATATTTTCTACCATCTCTGCGTGCTTGTGTTTGTGTTTGATGGATAGGTCACAGGACTCTGTATATCGGGGTTCATGTTCCTCTGGGCAGAAGATCCCACCGCCGTCATCGGCATCACGGACACCGACACAGAAAGAGGAGCAGGGAGAGAGACTCGGGCGTCGAAGACGGACACGAATCTCCTTCATACAGTAACCATCCATCCTTCCTTCAGTGACTTTCTTACTCCGTGTTTTTCTCCTGTTTTTCAGTACAAATATCTAAACATTCTTAACCCTATAAAGCCCATTTCTGATCAACAAGATCAAAACTGCTGAAAAACCTGTCGCACACAATCTACTGTACTCCATGCCTTCTGTCATCTGATTGATACTTTATACATTTTTAGCAAGTAAAAGGCTTTTTAGTGTAATTGTACAAACGTCCTGCTTCAGCTCTCGCTTCATGCGTCTTTTAGCTGCGAAATCTGATAAAACATTTTTATAAAGTAAACATTTGGTGTTATTAGTAATATTTCAAGATGAACAGTTTCAGCTTGGATTCACTTGATTAGCAAGATATCATTTATTATAAATATCATGTTCAAATGTGAGTATAAAATATGATCATCAGGCTTGAGGATTTATTTGTTCATCTCTCAATCATCATTGCCTATAAAGCCCATTTCTGATCAACAAGATCAAAACTGCAAAAAACCCGTCGCACACAATCTAATGTACTCCATGTCATCTGGTTGATACTTTATACATTTTTAGCAAGTAAAAGGCTTTTTAGTGTAATTGTACAAACGTCCTGCTTCAGCTCGCGCTTCATGCGTCTTTTTGCTGCGAAATCTGATAAAACATTTTTATAAAGTAAACATTTGGTGTTATTAGTAATATTTCAAGATGAACAGTTTCAGCTTGGATTCACTTGATTAGCAAGATATCATTTATTATAAATATCATGTTCAAATGTGAGTATAAAATATGATCATCAGGCTTGAGGATTTATTTGTTCATCTCTCAATCATCATTGTATTGCACTGCATTATATGTTTTGATCATCAATCTAGGCATTTAAATATCATCTTAATAAATACGACATATTATTGTGATATATATATATAGTGACAGTTTGGGCCTCTGAATGAAACTGAGATCTCACTGTATCATAATATATGAGCCATAAAAGCCTGATGCATCAAATTTGTCTAAAGGTTCAATAAACTGTTCTATTAAAATGTCTTTACAGGGTTAAGTCAAGATACATTTAGTTGAGACACAAAATGATTTAAAATGTTAATTTTGTTTACTAAAAAAATATCAAAATTAAGCAAATTTATGCTTAAAACAAAACAAAACAAAAAATAAAATAAAAATAAAATCTGCCAGCGAGGTAAGCAAATTAAATTTTGAATAAATGTGTTAAAATTTTAATCAAATTAAAATGTAATTCATTTATTTATTTAAATAATAATGTCATTTTTCATCACAAGCAAAGGTATCTTGAATTAAGAATATTTAGATGTTTTGCAAAAACAACAAAAATACTGAGTAAGAACCTCTTTTTCTGTTTGTTTGCTGTCTTCCTCTGTTCCTTCTGATATCCTTTCATCATTTCTGTTTCTCTTTGATGGTCTGTCCTGTTGTATTATGTTTCTTTGAAGCTCTCTCTCTGTCTCTGTTTGGCTGTGATCTCGACAGGCTCAGAGTTTGAGTGTGTGTTGCTCCTTTAGCAGCTCATCATGATGACTCAGAGAGCAGCTGCTTCTTTTCTGTGCTTTATTATTGTCCACAAAATGTGTGTTGAACACAGAACAGTTTCGGGTCTCTGAAGCTTTTAGCTGCCTATTTTAGCCATGTGACCTTTTGAACTGAGCTTGGTGGTTTATTGAAGTCACTGAAATGCGGTGTCACAGATACTCCCTCTCAGAGGGTTCAGTTTCTGCTGGGCACTGAGGATGATGATGAAGAGCACATACCACACGACCTCTTCACCGAGCTGGATGAGATCTGCCTGCGTGACGGAGAGGATGCTGAGTGGAGAGAAACCGCCAGGTACTGCCCCATGTGACTCGGTCATGTGACTTCACCTGTCTGGATTCAGTCATTCAGTATGCACTTATGGGTTAATGACATATAATAATGTCTGACTTTTTTTTTTTTAAATAACATAAAATACAGATTTTTAAAGAAAATATTAAATATATATGACATAATCTTTAATCCTGATTTTATCAAATGTCTCCAAAAAAGTGGCACAATCATCTAGTAAAAAGTGAAAAAAAGTTTCCATAAGCCTTGAATAGAATATGAGTGTATATTTATTTATTAATTTATTTAAATATTTATATTTTTTTCTAGGGGTTATTTGATTTGACAGTTAAAAATCTTATGTCATAAAAAGGTCGAATTAAAAATTCAAATGAAATAAAAAAATACAAATGTAGGCAAAAAAAAAAAAAAACTAATAAAAATGACAAAAGCACTTAACATATTACTAAAACTTAAGCTAAAATTTAAGAACGAATTTAAAAACGAAAACCAAAAATATAAAAATGTGTGTGTGTGTGTGTGTATATATATATATATATATGGCATATACATAATATTAAAATAACTGATCTGAGATTTCGTCTGGTGTTTTTCATCAGTGTCTCCAAAAAAGTGGAATAATCATATAGTTAAAAGTGATTTTCTGTAAACCTTGAATAGAATATGAGTGTACATATCCTAATAATTATTTTCCAAGGTATTTTTTGTTTGTTTATTTATTTATTTTTTATGTTTTTTTTATTCTTGGGGTTATTTGATTTGACAATCAAAAAGATATGATGTCATAAAAAGGTCAAATTAAAACTAAAAATTTAATAAAAATAAAAATGTATGGTATAATAGAAATAAAAAAATAAAACTAATAAATGACAAAAGCACATAACATATAATTAAAACTTAAACAAATCAAAATCAAAACTAAAATGATATGATATTAGAAAAAACAACTAAGTGTAGTAAAAACAACACACAGGTATCACGGTTGCCTTCTGTGGCGAAACGAGGAGACGTGGGATTAACTCAAAGTAACTGTCTTTAATCATCCAACCAAATGAACATAACGAACTATAATGAGGACAGGAACATAACCAAATAAGGGCATACAGAAACAGGAGACAGGAACAGAGGGAAAACAAAACATAAACATGACAAAAGGAGGACATTTACATATTTTGTCATATGACCAATGCATGTGACAAGAAACCCCAAGAACAGGAAATGGCATCACAAAATGGCCCTCATGGAAATGTACCACGGTCAGTACATGCAAATCTGTAAAAAAAAAAAAAAAAAAAAGATATTTCCGCTTGTTTAGGACACTGCATGGTTAGTTCAGATTCATAATAAATGCACAAATTACATTTTAAAGCACTTGACACATGAGCTTTAAACTATTTTTTAAAAGATTTATGCTTTTCTCCATCTCAGCAATCTTTATTTGTTATTAGCCCACAAATAATGAATCAATATTTTGACATCACGCGATAATGCGCAGTGTTTTTCAGAGATTGATTCTTGGCTGCTCTCGTGTGTTTTGAGAGCATGAGTGATGTTTAATGCATTAAATCTGTTGAGCAGCATTATTCCAAGAGAGCTGAGGTTATATAAAGAAGCATTGTTATGTAATATTTGTGTGCGTGTGATCAAACAGAAAGGCTAAATAAAGCTCTTATAATGATGATGGTTTCTACATTGTCATATGCCATCACATCTAAATGCAAGTGCGCGCAGCATGAGATTTGCTTTCATTTTTTCTTCAATAAGCAAAGACAACATGTAGACTGTAATGCTTTATATCTAAAAATATAAAAAATTCACATGAGGCAACACAAATTCCCATTTACTTATTCATTAAAAGTTATAAGGAAGGTTATTTATGTTATTATTTATTCATCTGCATAATGTTCATGACAGTTCATAGTGCTGTCAAGCTCCAAAAAGGACAAATATGATATATTTGGCATATGAAATAAAGTCTGTACTGTACATCTCGTACACTGTATTTTGGTTCTTCTGGATTTGTACGAGAGCTTCATATGAAAGTTATGCTCTTAATTCTGAAATGTATCTTGGAGCTCTTATTTTCCACAGACATTGGTATTCTGGCTGCATTTATGGTTGTTTTTAAAGAAATAGTTCACCCAAAAATAAAAATTTTGCTGACAATTCATTCACTCTCAGGCCATCCAAGATGTAGATGAATTTGTTTCTTCATCAGAACAGATTTGGAGAAATGTAGCATTGCTTCACTTGCTCACCAATGGATCCTCTGCAGTGAATGGGTGCCGTCAGAATGAGAGTCCAAACAGCTGATAAAAACATCACAATAATCCACAAGTAATCCACACCACTCCAGTCCATCAGTTAACATCTTGTGAAGCCAAAAGCTGTGTGTTCGTAAGAAACAAATCCATCATTAAGGCATTTTAACTTCAAACCATTGCTTCCGGCTAAAATATGATTCCTCTATCCATAATATTGCTTCCTCCAGCGAAAAAGTTGTCTTGTCTGAATCAGGAGAGAAATCTGCACAGATCAAGCACCGTTTACAAACAAAAACAGTCCAAAACAGCTCTAAACAAATATGTGGGTGGATTTTGATGTGAGAGACAACAGGAGATGGAATTTTTCACTGCAGGAAGCGTTATTATGGATTATGGACTCATTTTGTCCAGAAGCAATGGTTTGAAGTTAAAAATGTCTTAATTTTGTTTTTTACAATTTGTTCTTACAAACACGCAGCTTTTGTCTTCTCCAGATGTTAACTGATGGACTGGAGTGGTGTGGATTACTTGTGGATTATTGTGATGTTTTTATCAGCTGTTTGGACTCTCATTCTGACGGCACCCATTCACTGCAGAGCATCCACTGGTGAGCAAGTGAAGTAATGCTACATTTCTCCAAATCAGTTCTGATAAAGAAACAAACTCATCTACATCTTGGATGGCCTGAGGACGAGTTCATTACAGCAAATTTTAATTTTTTTGAGTGAACTATTCCTTTAACCATGTCTGTGTCTCTTTGTCCAGGTGGCTGAAGTTTGAAGAGGACGTGGAGGATGGAGGTGAGCGCTGGAGTAAACCGTACGTTGCGACACTCTCGTTGCACAGTCTCTTTGAGCTGCGGAGCTGCATCATCAACGGCACCGTCATGCTGGACATGAGAGCCAGCTCTCTGGAGGAGATTGCAGGTTGTGTTTTATCCTAAAGAAATTCAACATATGGTCGTAGAACTGATTTCAATAGAAACACATTGGGCTTTTGGGTGAAATCTGTCATTTCTAGGTCACATTTAACCCAAAAGTCAATAAAAAAGGGGAAAAAATGGAGAAAAGACATTAAGCGTTTTTGGTTAATGTTTGCATTGAGACATAATTTTTATGAGAATTGCAGTTCCCCAAATAATTCTCATTAATGCAAAGAAATCCCATTCTTTAGTACTGTAATGTGAATAAAATGGTAAACTGTTTATACATCACTGTAGTATTTGCTGAACTGTCTTTACACTAATTTAACTTTTAAAAATGAAATTGTATTCTAGCATCTTGTACTGTAATACAGTCAAAATTGTAGTGTACAAATGAGAATCACTATTGAGAATAATTAATTCTAGAAAATGTAAAAATAAAACATGCATTACGGTAATGAGAGTTTTTGGAAAATGTGATTGAAAATCATTTAAAAATGCAAAAAAAAAAAAATAGTGGTCATAAAAATAGACTTAATTTTCATTTTGTAAAATATAATTTGTTGTTTTTCCTGTTTTGATTGCATGGCGAACTGTGACCTGAACATGTTTCCATGAGATTCACCCTTTCATTCTTTCCTGTGCTCATAAAATGTTTGCTATTTCTGGTCAAATTAGCTTCCATTGTCAAATTAGCACATTGTAATAGGATGTGTCAGTGCTCATATGCCGCTGAGGAACACCTTAAACTGAGTTTTACACTTTAATCTCTGTGGGATTTGTGTAAGAGAGCTCAAGCCATATGTACAGACTCACAGTGTTTAAAGCTCAGGTAATTGGCACATATGTACAAGGTTCTAATGTTCAGCTTATGAACGTCAGTATTTCATGAGTTGAGCATGAGAGAGAGTTGCATATTCAGTTGGATACAGAGGGGAAAAAAAAATATTTATATATATATATGTATGTATAACCTGAAAAATAGATAGAATGATGAATTCTACAACACACTTTGACCTTTTGTGACAACAATATCATGTTGTCACAAAAGGTCAAAGTGTGTTGTAGAATTAATCATTCTATCTGTATACGAACTGTATTTTTTTAATGTAATTTCAATGCAGAACAAGCCTCTAGAGGTGAGTGCGCTGTGGAAATTGTCTTTATCGCTTAGTGTCAGTCATGAATTATACAGTGTTTGCACCTCACTCTCTTAAGCATGTGAATTTTGCATTACTCAAAGCTGTTGTGCATCTTCCGGATCTCTGAGCAGCTGCTCCATCGCTTGTCATCAACATCTATGTCAGTTTCTTGATGCAGAGTTCAAGGAACATCTGCAAAATAGACACAGATGAGGTTTTTGCCAAACATTTAGCACAGATTAGCCATTTAAAGATCACATCAGCTCTGTATCAAGACGGCACTGGCCAGACATATGCTGTGTTAAGTATTCATCATTCTATTTATTATTCAGGTTCGAAGTGAATAATTAACACTTTGGTGGCAAATATGAATATAGCATTCGGCAGATCTATATTGCTGCACATCTGTGCCAATGTTCACGTTTTAGTATAAAGTTACAATAAACATGTAACAAGATCATCTAAATGACATCAGATTATTGCCAAATTGTTAATATTCCATGGTGATGTTACAAGCGTGATATTTATATTGATTCTGTCACGGGATGACTCAAGAAACAAAATGATCCAAGTGCAGCTTTTAATGATCCAAACAATAATCCAAAACAGGGAAAAACAAGGCAAAAACACAAGATAATCGGAGCCATGAACACATAACAGCAAAAGCAAGACTGAAGCCCCGAACAAAACAACCAACATATATACACCAGCAGGATCAAACTAACAAGACACAGCTGAAACCAATGAAACAATGAGGATGCAGGGGATGATGGGAGCAGAGTGAGGGGAACCATGGGAAATGCAGTCCAGTTAAAACAAACACAAAGTCCAAAAGAGTGCCCTCTGATGGCTCTTAAGGGCACTCCAGCAGAAGACTGTGACAGATTATATCCATTAAATTCATAACTTATATCCATTAAATTCTTTAAAAAATGTTTACATATTTAAATAAAAATATTTATTTATGTATTAACATTTTGAAAAAATAAGATGTGTGTGTGTGTTTTTTTTAGGCCTGTAATACTGCATTTTATCTTCTGCTGCTGATCCTTTGTGATGTTGTATGTTGAATTTCTTAGAAATGGTGCTGGACCAACAGGAAGTGGCTGGGCATCTTGAAGAGGATGTCAGGAAGAAGATCAAAGAGGCTCTTCTGAAGCAGCACCATCACCAGAACCAGAAGAAACTGGCCAATCGGATTCCCATCGTCCGCTCCTTCGCCGACATCGGCAAGAGGCAGTCTGATACAAACTGCATGGACAAAAACGGTATTCATTTGCCCTTGCGCAGAAAATAAAGGAGGTTGCAGGTCTGATTCTGCAAATGACATCAACACTATATACTACTACAGGTTAAAAGTTTGGATTGAGTAAATGAATATAAAATGAGTGTCATTATGAGCAAGGATGCATTAAATTGATCATAAGTGACAATAAAAACATTTATAATGTCTTTATTGAAGGATCATGTGACTGGAGTAATGATGCTGAAAATCCAGCTTTGATCACAGCAATAAATTACATTCTACAGTATATTCAAATAGAAAACAGTTATTTTAAATTGTAACAACATGGCACAATTTAAATGATTTTAAAGTATTTTTGATCACATAAATGCAGCCTTGATAAGCAGATGAGACTTCTTTCAAAAACATTAAAAAAATCGTAACAACCAAATTTTAATAAATATTTATAATTTTATTTTATGTATATATTTATATTTATAAATATTTATCTTTTTAAAATATTTATTTATTAATTACAAATTGGAAAAATAAGATGAGTTGGAAATGGAACAATAATTTAGGCTGTTTACTTATTTAATGCAGTGGTCACTTCTGAAACTTGTTCATTTGACTGTCTGTTGTTGCTGGTTTCAGTAGAAATCTGTCACTCCCAAAAATCAACTCACACATCTCAGTGATGTCTTGCAGGCGCTTCATCTCATCTCTTTAAGTCTCCTCTGTGGCGATCAGTTGTTTGTGATGGGAATGATGGGCAGGTCTCATCCTGTTCTCCATGTTGGTCTCTGTGCTGCTCACCTCTCCCTCCTCCATCCTCCACATCCACCCACCCAAACCAGAACCCCGCCACCTCCTTCAGCCTGGACAGAGACGACGGCTTGGATCCAGGCAACTTTTAACTTGAGAGACTTTCCCTTCTGCTCTAGTGCTTCCTAAAACATAACGTGTGAAGGTGGTTATCTCAGCGGATAGGTTGCACGTGGTAAACAAAATGTAGTCTAAAATGCTGAGACGGGCTGCGAGAATGCATGATTCTCTGAGATTATATTAATAACAAATAGCCAAAGTTGTTAAGCTAAAAACCTCTTCAATAGCCATGGCTGGATTCATTTAGTTGCTTGCTCCTCTGAAGGTGATTGTGAAGTTTTGCCGAAGCAACAAGCCACTCATAATTTACAGTACACTGAAAAAAATATGATGTAGAATTAGTTTTCTCTCAGAAATTGCTGGAAAATTTCACAATTAAGCAAGTAAGACATAAAATTAAACATGACATTTTGAAGTAGAAAGACTGAAATAGTGTTTTCTTGTAAAATGTACTCCAATAATCTTTGTTTTGTTTACAACTTTTACAAATTAAAAAATCAAGCTAACTATATTTAAGCTATCTTAAGAAGCAATATATTTTATTATAATTATATAATAAAAATTATGATTAAATGAACATATATCTGGCACAAAAACAAGGATATATGTTAGGGAGTTAGTGATATTCTTATGTTAATATACATACTGTATATGCATAAAATGATACACAAGAAGTTCTAGGAACTATGTGATGATTCAAATGAATCATTTTGCTGAACCAGTTCATTAAAATGAACTCTCTGAATGTATTGAATCAATCAAATTAATCCAAACTTTTTTTTTTTGAGAGGGAGATATTCTAAGATACTGCATTCAGATAATGTCAGAATGATCATACTTATGAAATGAGTGCACATAAACGGCACCAAAATAATAATCACTGGTGAGACGCTTTCCTTTAAGTACATTTAGTTTGTGTGGACTGTCAGTCTTAATATGTTAATATACATAAATGCATAAAATGATGCACAGAAAGTTCCAGGAACTAAAATGAGTGTTGATTTAAAGAATCATTTTGCAGAACAAGTTCATTAAAATAAACTGCCTGAATGAATCGACTCACTAAAATGAATCCAAACGTTTTTTTGAGACTGAGATATTCTAATGTACTGCATTCATGTCATGTCAGAGACAAGTGCATATGAACAACATCAAAATGTTATAGTCGCTGGTGAGAAGTACTTTAAGTTTGTGTGTTGGGTTCATGAAGAACTAGACATTAAAAATCAACAGAAAAATATAAAACTATTAATTTATATGTTGATTATAGAAACAACATATTTTATGTTTATTGCATAATATGTATATGTTTACAAATATTTAAGCAGTTTGAGATCATAGGGAAACTTTACAGTGCCAAAGAGGTTTTTTTGGTGCAATTAACTTGTTTCAATTTTCTGATTGGTAGAAATTTCTTTGAAGAATCATGGGTAATGTAGTTTTTCACCAGGAATTCCACTTTTAAACACAATTATTGTTAAAATAATGTAGGGTGATGGTTTCAACAAACGCGTATACCATCGATTAACAGCCTTGTAACTCATAGTAGATATGTCTTTAATGGTTTATGAGATAGCTTTAAAATCAATTCCTTATGGAGAAAATGAATGGGATTGTTGCATTCTATTGGATGACAGAACTGCATTTCCCATGATTCTCTTTGGCTGCACAAGGATAAAATACAGAGTAAAGTGTCAATTAGGCACCTAATGCACATCCTTTCCTCTTGGTTTTAGCACAAATGCCAAACAAAGCTTACAAATTTCCAATACATTGATGTTTTTTTTCTGCACAAAAACATGACTAGCTATGGCTTTTAAGTACTTGAATGCAGCAACATTCATGCAACTGAAAAATGTAGTTAAAGTTAGTAGCATTGTTTCTTTTAGTTTGTTTAGTTTACTTAAGACTGATGCTAAATTGATTCATTTACATTCATGCATTATGCATTTTGTCCAAAGTAATTTACAAAATAAAAGCAAATGTAAACAGCATAAGTGTGAATTTAGTGTTATACAATTTGCCCCAGTAGATAAGCAGTGTAATTTGGCAGATAAATGACATGATATTGCACTGTGTGAGGAAGGTGAAGGCTATATTGAATATTCATCACCTTTATACAGGGCGTATGTTTAGGAAGATTGCCAGCTTCCCACACGCTAACGCTAACGCATGAAGTGTACCAGACCCTTCGTTCTGTGCCGTGCAGATGCACAGAGCATCATTAGTACTGTAATTCATGCAGAGCTGAGCCAAAACTGTATTAAAACAGCAGCGAGCATGACTAATAAACACAAATCTGTTCATGCCATGTGAGATGCTCTCTTAACTAAGGGCTTTGGTGCTGCTTCATGCGCTGAAAGCTGCTTTAGCTGCCTTTAGAGTAGAGCGCAATCGAGTTTCCATAAAGTGATGCTTGGTGATTTATTTATATCCATTTTTGAAGGCAAAAATGTGAAGTTAGTAGGAGCCATCGTCTCTCTGCTCATTATGTCTCTTCATGGATGTAGTAATCAATAGTGATGGTCAAAACACATCTGAGATCATGACAGACCTCCATTAAAATCATTCTCTCCTACCAATCCATAAACACAATCATTTCAATCTGCTACATTTAATACAGCCGATGCTTATGCTGCGTTCCATTCATCGGCTGGTTAACACTGATTAGTATTGATTGATTGATAGTCTCTCTGTCTGCAGGTCAGATGATTCCACCGCAGTCTCAACCGCTAACCACAGGGGGCAAGAATGACATGAGCCGTGAAAACAGTGCTGTGGACTTCAGCAAGGTAATGATGCACAACTTGTCAAAAGTTTGGAAGCATTACGATGTTTTTAATGAAGTCTCTTTTGCTCACCAAGGCTGCATGTATGTGCTCAAATTTACAGTAAAGCTGCGATATTGTGGAATATATTGCAAGTGTTTGCTATTTTAATATATTTTAAAATGCAATTTATTCTTGCGATGCAAAGCTGAATTTTCAGCATCATTACGTCAGTCTTCAGTGTCACATGATCCTTCAGAAATCATTCTAATATGCTGATTTGCAGCTGATTATTATCAATGGTGAAAACAGTCGTGCTGCTTCATATTTATGCAGAAACCATGATATACAACCATTCAAATGTGTGGGGTGTGTGTTTAGTAGAAATGAAGGCTTTTATTCAGTAAATATGTATTAAATTGATCAAAAGTGATAATAAAAACATTTATGTTACAAAAGATTCTATTTTTAAATACATGCTGTTCTTTTGAATTTTCTATTCATCAAGAAAGCTGAAAATAAAATGTTTCCACAAAATATTAAGCAGCAAAAACCGTTTTTAACATGAATAATGTGACACTGAAGACTGCAGTAATGATGCTGAAAATTCAGCTTTGCATCACAGGAATAAATTACATTTTAAATATATATTCAAATAGAAAACATCTATTTTAAATTGTAATAATATTTCACAATATTACCATTTTTACTGTATTTTTGAGCAAATAAATTCAGGATTCTTGAGCATAAGAGACTTCTTTCAAAAGCATTAAAAAATCTTAACCCTGAGCTTTTAAATAACCAGATATTTTATTGTACAAAAAACAAAAGCATAACAAATCATTTTAAAAATCATTATTTTATCACCAATTCCCTTAAAAGTACATGTATTTTCTTGATAAATGTAATTATATAATGTAGAATTCTACAAACATGCATTTATTTCCATACATTTTATGGACGTTTTTAATTTTTTCTTCGCAAAAGCACAAATCTTACTGCATTTTATAGTGAAATGTCCTGTTAATTCTACAGTATATAAATATTTCACCATATTTGGTTTAGCAACTTAAAGACTTTTACAGTATGACATGTCTTGCAGTTCAGTGCAGTACACAGAGGTCTGTGTGTTTTCTCTGAAGCGCTTCCGTCTGCCGTCTGTCTGTTCTGGGAAGAGGGATTACGCTTCAAACACACTGTGGTTGAAACCCTCTTTCCCTGACATTAGACTGTTCTGTTTCTTGCATTAAGTGGGTATAGCGTTGTGATCCCATGAACAGATGAGAGAGCGGCTGCGGTGCTGTCAGGGGTCACAGGGGTCGTGATGAAATGCTGCATTAATATAGAGAGTAATATTATGAAATCTTACACAACACATGGTCTTTGCATTATGCAAACATACATAATCTCTTTGGTTCTGTACATCATTTTGGCCTTTGACCCTAAACCAGTCTAAGAACGCATTTCCATAGGAACCAGAATTCCAGAATATTACAAAGAGCTTTATGGATTTGTTTTTCATGCTTTTTAATATTCCATATCCAGATGTGAAAATCACTTAGAATCCTAGATATGGATGGGTTGCGTAATTATGGCTTGAAAATACTGAGGTTAGGTTTTTTTTTGTGTTATTGAGGTACTGTTATAGTTTTTATTTATATTTTGAATTAGTTTTTTTTTAAGTAACATTTTGAATTACATTTGTTTTTTTTTTATTTTCATTAAAATTGTAGTTAAAATGTGAGTAATTTTGTTGTGTTTTTGTCTTTTTTTTTTAAAGAACATCTATATAACTGCTAAAGTATTCAATTTACAGATGGCTCACCTTTTATAATCTATTTAGTCTGTATAATAAGGTCTGTATAACAAACCTGTTCAAAACATCCATGCCAGGCTTTGTTCTCAGTGTGCATGTGCATTTCAGTAACCTGACTCTGCATAATGATTTGTGTGTAGATAGACCTGCACTTCATGAAGAAGATTCCTCCGGGTGCAGAGGCCTCTAATGTTTTGGTTGGAGAGCTGGAGTTTCTGGACAGGCCTGTCGTGGCATTTATCCGCCTCTCTCCTGCTGTACTGCTGAACGGCCTGGCAGAGGTGCCCATTACCACCAGGTGAGCATAGAGCTGGACGGTTTAGTCTATATTGATAACCTGACACCAGTTCCATTACTGTTTTGTGGCTGATCTGTCAGGTTCCTGTTCATCCTGCTGGGGCCTCTGGGTAAAGGACCACAATATCACGAGATTGGCAGATCAATTGCTACTTTAATGACAGATGAGGTAAGAGGGCATGAAGTTGTTTTACAGTTGTTTACAGCTTTTAACAAAGTGCTCTTGTGTTCACTTTTTATCTTTGATCCAGAGGCATTTAGAATCATTCAAAATCAATTTGAAAAAATTTTAATTCTAAATTCTGTTTAAATGAGCTGCATTTATGAAAATGAAAGTCTGAGCTGTCAACTTGAAATTATTTTATCAAATAATTGATCATATATTTGAAAAATATTTTGATATGTATATTTTTAAAAATGTTATCATTCCGATTTCTGTCATTTGATCTAACGGGAATTTTTTAGAGTGACACAAACCAACTAATTAGTTATTAAAAAGGAAAGTCTACTTACATAAAGTTGTCAACTTGAAAATATTTGATTCAATAATTGATTTTTTTTTTTTATATGT